CCATTTTAAAGATTGCGTATAATACCTTGCACAAATACATGTGATAAAACTATTTCCCCATTCAGAACAGTGCCCAGTAGAGCTGGCAAGTCAGTAACTGTGATTCCCCCACCTTGCCCCCTCCCTAGCAAGCTCACTTTCCACCTGCCCTGTAATTCCCTTCCCTGTTCTCTTTCATGTGTTTACGTGCCTGTCTCTTCCATTGGAATCAGTTTTTCAACAGCAGCGCTATGACAGTTTGGACAGAATCATTCTTTGCTGTGGAGACTGTCCTGTGCATAATAGAAGGGTTAGCAGCACCTGAGTCTCCACCCACTAGATGCCAGTAGCACCTTCCAAGCTGTGACAATCAAAAATATCTCCCGAGATTGTCAAATGTCCTCTGAAGGACAAAATCACCTCAATTGAAAACCGCTGCACTAGAGTAATGGCTGTCAAACTTTTTGGAACAAGACCTGCAATAAGAAACATTTTGTATATGTATAAACACACACAGTATGTGAAATAACTTCATTAAATCATTGTTACCCTTACAGTGTCCCACTCTGATATGTTCTATTCTGTTTAAAAAACACAGTGACTAGATTGAGCCTCCATAAGAATAGTAAACATACCTGTTTCATCTTTGCACTCACAGTACCTAAGCAAATTGTGTGGCACACAAGAGGAACACAAATACTTGTTAAATTGCAATGAATCACTCTATTGCCTGCTTGTCCAGATATCTTAACCTGGTGTTAGCAAGATAGAACAGATAACAGGGATGAGACCCCAGCTTCTCCCAGGAAGATTTGGCAAAATACTCTTTATTTAGAAGCAGGGGCAGTGGCGGGACCTAGGGATGACTGGGGGCTTGTCACCTAAGCAACAAGAAGAGCAAGGAGCCTAGTTTTATGCCCTCAAGCCTGGGAGGACGTGGCCAGGGCTCCACAAGGCCCTGGAGTTGGGGGAGCGGGATGCTGGCAGGAGAGCAGGTTCACCCTCCTCTTGAGGAAGCAGCCACTACCCCCAGGAAGCAGCAGATGGGGGCGCACAGGCAGAGCCCCTGGTGCTGTAGAGCATGATCAGCAGATCTGCACTCAGCCTCAGCCCCGGGGAGCTGCAAGACAGACTGAGACCATGATAGGTTTGGCTCTACATCCCCACCCAAATCTCATCTGGAATTGTAATCCTCATGGGTCAAAGGAGGAACCTGGTGGGAGGGGATTGGATCTGGGGACAGTTTCCCCCGTGCTGCTCCCCTGATAGTGAGGGAGTTCTCAGGAGAGCTGATGGTTTCAAAGTGTGGCACTTCCTCGTTCTCCACTCACTCCCTCCTGCTGCCTTGTGAAGAAGGTGCCTGCTTCTCCTTTGCCTTCTGCCATGATTATAAGTTTCCTGAACTACGAGTCAATTAAGTCTCTTTCCTTTGTAAATTACCCAGTCTCAGGTATTTCTTTATAGCAGTGTGAAAACAAATTAATCCAGACCCCTTCCCTGAAATGCCTTCCTAGGGCCACCAGCTGCCCCGATGCTCCTCCTCTGCCCCCCAGTCTTTCTTTCCCCCTCATTAGGCCCAAATGATCCACATGGCCAGTCCCAGTCCCATCCTACTGCAGGCCTGTGTGGCTGCTGGAGAGGCCAGGCTCCCTTCCTCAACCAGAGGATGCCTGATATGCTCTGTGGATCCTGGAGGAAACTTACCCCCTATCCTCATACTGGTGCAACTTCTTCCAAGACCTCAAAGCTGGACAATGTCAGCCGGTCTTTTTTCTTGTCTCCACTTGCTAGGGCTGTCACTGGGACAGTCCTGGGGTGGGGGGTGGGGCGGTGGGGCAATGGATGAATGGATGGATGAGTGGACAGTAGTCCAGGGATGATGTCCTTGTCTGTCCTGAACTGGGCCCTTCCTCCAATGAGAAGCCTTCCTGAGTAAGTTTATACAGTCGTCCCTTGGTATCCATGGAGGATTAGTTCTAGGGTCCCCGGGGATGCCAAAATCCATGGACCAAGTCTCTGATATAACATGGCCAAGTGTTTTTTATTTTTATTTTTTGAGATGGAGTTTCACCCTTGTTGCCCAGGCTGGAGTGCAATGGTGCAATCTCGGCTCACTGCAACCTTCGCCTCCTGGGTTCAAGCAATTCTCCTGCCTCAGCCTCCCGAGTAGCTGGGATTACAGGTATGTGCCACCACATCCAGCTAATTTTGTATTTTTAGTAGAGACAGGGTTTCTCCATGTTGGTCAGGCTGGTCTCTAACTACTGACCTCAGGTGATCCGCCTGCCTCGGCCTCCCAAAGTGCTGGGATTACAGGTGTAAGCCACCACACCCAGCCTAACACGGCCTAGTGTTTATATATAACCTATGCACATACTCCCATATACATTAGACCATCTCTAGATTACTTATGATACACAATACAACGCAGACGCTATGTAAATGGTTGTGATACTGTATTATTTAGGGAATGATGACAAGAACAAAGTCTGCACATATTCAGTAGAGACACAGTCATCCAATTTCTTTTCTGAATATTTTCCATCTGCTGTTGGCTGAATCCACAGAGGCAGAGTTCTCAGATATGAGGGCCAAGTATGCTTTGAAAGTAGGATGGGTGAGGTTGCTAATGAGTACAAGGGAGTAAGTGTCAATCAGGAGGGCCCTACATTGGGTCATCTGGATGCCCTAGCTCAGGACTTGAGGCTCCAGGTTTGGATGGCACAGGCAGGCTCAGCCCAGGTGAAAATCCTCCCCTTGAATGTCTTTTCATCCCAAGCTCTTTCTGGCCCCTGGAATTTGGCATCCCCTAGGATGCCTTGGGTGGCAGGACAGATGAACCAGATTTTAGAAAACATGTCTAGAAGAGTGAGCCCCTACCATGTGCCGGGCACTTTCCCCACAGGATCCTCTAGCTGGAATAACCAAGGGTCATGGAGAGAAATACCCAGTTAAAATATCAGAAATAAAAAAAGAGATACCATTAGAGATACTAAAAAGACCATTAGAGATACTAAAAAGACCATTAGAGATACTAAAAAGATCATTAGGTAATAGTATTAGCATTTTTATTCTGAGATTCAACAGCAGCAGTCACTTCCCTCCACCCCTATGTGTATCCCAGGACCACCCTGGGCAGGGAGGGCTGAGGTCAGGGAGTACCCATGGATGCTCTCATGCTGGCCCTGAGCCCCAAGGGTGACAGTGACAAGGAATGGGGTGCACACATGAGTGAGGCAGCCAGGCCTGGCCAGAGAAGCAACAGACGCGTGCACGGACGTGTTTACCTACATACACATGTGCACACACGTGCGCAAACACATGGCACGCAGGCATGATGATGCCTCAGGCAGTGGAGGATGCTGACTCTGGGCCCTGCTGACCCGGGCAGGGCCCCATTGTGATGCATGCCTTTACCTCAGAATGTCACTGGTGCTTAACACCCGTCCGATCTCCGGCCTGCCTCTGTGTTCTACAGCAGCTACACACACACACAGTGGTATCTGGAGCAGCTCTGTGGACTCAAAGGTTTTCTCCCTGAGAGGCATAACACAGGCCAGCTGATTCATCAGAATCAGGTGAGTGTGACCTGCTCTCTTCCCTCCATGCTGACTAGGGGACAGTGGCTATGGTATGAGTGGTGCTGGCCTCTGGGCACCTGCCAAGAAGGGTCATCCCTGAGCACTCACCAGGTGTCTGTTCTATGCTGCCCATGTAGACAATTGTCTCTTTCGTCCTCATGGTGGTTCCCAGATGTAACCATTAGAAAGGCGAGACGTCTGGGGTCAGAGAGGCGGTAACCAGCCTGGGAATCCCGACATGACCCTGGGTTTTGCTCTTGGCCCTGCCCTGTGCCATGCTGGACTTCAGGCCTGAACCCTGCAGGCCCCCTGCCCTAGATCCGAAATCTGTCCGGGGTTTCTGATCCCGATGGGGCAGAGCCTCGCCCTGGCAGAGCCACTGGGATGGATCCACTGTGGGTAAGGTAGAGGGGAGGGTCCTCAGAACACGTCTGTGGCCTAAGCTGGGTCCTGATGGTCCCTGTGGGACCCACTGGGCACACACGGTCCCTTGTCCGGGAGTGGTATGGGGAGCCTTCTGCCTTTGAGCAGCTGTGGAAAATGAAGGAGCCCTGGAGAACTGACTGGAGGGAGACTATCCTCCATTCTGTTCAAAGGGGTCCAGGTTCTGGGGTTCTCCCCAAGTATTTCTTTCTCTGGTCCTCTGGAGCCTCACCCTCCCTTTGTCCCGAGTGTTCCCAGGAGGGACAGTCCATCTAGGTGTTCTCCAGGACCAAGGACCCACTGTTCTTCCTCAGTGACCCACGAAAATGAAGCCCCCTCCTGTAGGGACAGCTCAGAGTGGTGGAGTCCACAGTCCCTCCCCGAGAGATGTGGCTTCCATGAGCACAGAGGCTGCTTTGGAGACAGTATATTATTTTCATCCCCCAAACCAAACACCCTCCTGCTCAACTGGTGTTGTTCCTAAAGTGGCTTCACTGGTGAGACTGAAGAGCCACGATAGCCCAAGTGATGAGTGGAGCAGAACCGAGCAGTCAGGAGAGATCTTGTTCCCTGCAGGAAACTGGGCATCTCTGTGGTCCCTGAGCATCCCAGGAGGTCAATTGTACAGAGACCTCTGGTCCCTGTCCCCAGTCTGCCTCCACATCCCTGGAATAGCCCCTCATGGGCCCTTCAACCTTGGCAGGGGGACATCATTCAATCTGCCAGGGCAGGTGTGTACCCGTTTCATGGCATTTGGGGACAACAGGATTCTCTGTCCAGGTCCCACTGTTCTCAAGTCCTTGGGAAGATTCCCACCTCTGCTTGGGGCTTGAGACTGCAGAGACCCATGCAGGTGTGGGCCACTGGGTAAAAGGTCTGGCCCCTTTTCATCTGAGGGCAGTGGTGGAATAGGGGGTTACACAGCCAGGCAGCATCTGGGAGCCGGGTGGAAGCGGTTCAGGCGTTCTCTGGAGGTCTCACGTACAGTGTAACATTTAGACGATTTTGTCTCACAGGATGGGCATGGTAGAGGACGCAAATACTTTGCAGGAGTGAGAGGACATCACTATGAAGTATGAGAAGGTACATATCTGTCTGCTCCTTGGAGGAAGGCCTCTTCCAGTGCGCCCTGGTCAAAGGGTCCTGGGCTCCCTAGGAGCACAGGGTGGGGACGAGTGGCCAGTACCCACAGGCCCTTTCACCCTTTACCTTGAACCCCTCACCAAGGCTCCCTCTGGGTTGCAGGGACACCGAACTGGGCTGCCAGAGGACATGGGGCCTGAGCCTGTTGGAATTCCTGCAGCACTGATCGCTTTAGGATTGTGCAGTGAGTCCTCTGTGCTCCCCTCACCCCTAAAGTACCTGACTCAGCTCAGGGACGGGTTTGCTTTTAGAAAGGACTTTCTGAGTCAGGACATGTCTCACCAGGTCGGGTCAACCTCCTTTCCAGGGTCAGAATTGGCTCCCCTGCAGGTCCAGCCCAAGGTTGCTGTTAGGCCAGAGGTGCGGGGCCTATCTAGGGAGCAAGTGGGAATGGAGGGGGGCTAGGTCAGGCCCCTGGACTCTCAGCAGTTCTGCCCCAAGTTAGCACAAGAGGAGCGGGGCAGCCTGAGGCTCTGGCCCTGTCCACTTGGAGGCAACCCCAGTAAGATCCAAGGGTTGTGGCCACAGGGTGAGGGGATGCCTGGCCCAGCCTCAGGGCTATTTTCCAGCAGGTCTCTGGTCTCTGAGAGCCCACCTGCCCCTGTTCTCCCCCATTTCCCTAGAGCTACAGCCCTCACTGTCCCCATGGGGAAGGGGGAAAGGCATGGGGACAGTGGGGGCTGTGGCCTTAGGGGAATGGGGGAGAAGATGGGCAGGGCCTCGTTCTGGGCATCTCACAGTGAGGCCAGGGAGGCAGCAGATCTTGAGGCTAATGACCCTGGGTCTGGTGCTGGGAAGGGATCTGGGGCCAGGTAAGAGGAGCCCAGGCTGAAGCCCATCCCTCAGGGATCATAGAATGGAAAGACGGAGGATCCCGGGAAAGGTAGGGTGGGAGGGAGCTGATGAGCCATGCCACTTCTGAAACGCAGTGTGTGTGGCTTGGGTGCAGGGAGAGGCAAGTGGATGCTGGGAGGTCAAACCCTGCAAGGGCCTTGGGAGTGTTGGGTGGGATGGGCCTTCGGTGCAACCTGGGTGCACCGGGCAGGTCACAGGCCAGGCTCCCTAGACCCCAGCAGGTCCACATCACATGGTCACTCGCAGAGGGACTCCTGTCAGGGCCCAGTCACCCCATCCCATCTCAGGGCTGACCTTTCTCAGCTCAAGCACAAAGCATTACTTCCAGTCCAGGAGGGGTAGCCCCCATTTTACACCCTGACCGCCCCCCACACCAGGGGCCCCCATTAGCCTCGGCCAGGCTGGCCCTGCACTCCCTCTTTTCCCAGGTCCTGGACCCTCCTGGGAGTCAGCCGCACAGAAAGGCCCTTGTCCTTCCTTCCCTGTGCCTTCTCCTGGGCTGAGCCCTGAGTTGGATGGGGACAGAGCCAGTCCTTTCTGGGGATTGGCTCCCAGACCAGGATGGCTCCAGGCCCTGTGCAGGTTCTCAGCTTTGCCTGGACTGCAATACAGTGAGACGGAACTGCCCTGTCAGTGCCCGGGAGGCAAAGGTAAGAGCCTGATCCTTGGGGGTGCTGGTCCAGGGACAGGGGGACTCGGCAAGTGGTCAGTGAGGCAGAGGAAGCAGCGGGCCTGGGTGGTAGCAGGTGGGGGCAACACGCTGTCACTGGGAGGGGCAGCTGTCCCTGCTGGACCTGACCCCAGTTTGCTGTATCTCTGGCAGTTTGATGAAATTCCAAAGTGAGAACCACAGTTGTGGCTTGGGGGTGGCTGCCCACTTGTGTTAGGACCCCACCTAGAGGCTGGGACCTGACCTAAGACTGGTGTGTCTGTGGCCTGAGGATGGCACGTCCCAGGGTCCCAAAGCCAGCCCACTGGCACTCGTGTGCTCAAAGGCCCTCAGCCCTTAGGGTCTGCCCTTCCCTGGCTCCTTCCAGCTGGGTCCCACCAGGGCTCCAGAGCCCAAGATCCAGCATCCACAGGCGGCTCTGGGAAGCCTGGCAGCTCCGTTAACTCCAACATTCCTCATTTGACAGCAAATGCGGTGGGAGATGAGATGAAAGAGCAAGTGGATGGAAATGCTGGGAGAATGGGACACATATCAGAACAGCAAAAAAGTAATGTGTGGAGGGACAGGTCCCTGGAACCACTCTCTGCAGAGACAGGGACAGGCACCCATGGCTGTGGCCTGGCACCGGTAGCCTCTCAGAGGGCAGGTGTCTTCACCCAGAGGACCACAGGCCTGCTTGTGCAAGTGTCACCTTGCTGAGAGGGAATCTGAATCTAGGGCTAGGGCCACCCCTAGCTCAGGGCTATGGATGCCTACTGGTGACCCAAAAGAAGGAAAAGGTCCAGATCAGAGTTCAGGACTCTGAGTGCCCATCTACTCTTCCAATCCTGGGAAGGGAGACCCTGTCCCAGCTTGATTTCACCTCTACCGAGGAATCATGGGGCCAAAACCAAAGATTTCCAGGATCCTCATGCTTTGGTCCTGGCTGGCGTCGCCCCGTGGCCTGTGACACCAGATCACTTTCTGCCCACAGCTGATTGATCGAGTGTATAAGGGCATTCCCATGAACGTCTGGGGACAAGTGTGGTCAGTCCTCCTGAACATCCAGGAAGTCAAGACGAAAACCCCCTAAAATACAAGGTACACTAAGCCAGAGCACAACAAACAGGCCAGGCTGGGTCAGGACCCAGTTCTCCAACTGCAGGGAACGTCATGCCCAGGCTTGGGGAGTGGGTGCTGTGGTCAGATGCTCATCCTAAGCACGGACAGTGACATAGGAACCACAGACCCCCCCAGCTTCAGAAACAAGCCAAAAAGCAGCTTTCTGTGGAAGGAAACCTTTCTTTCCTTCCTTCCTTCCAAAAGTGCTGACTGTGGGCTGACTGCCATTTGGGGCAGGGAGTCTTCCATCTGTTCTGAGACTGTTTCCTCCTCTTGGCCCTGCCCTACAGGTCACGAAGGAGAAGGGCAAGAGATCCTCTGAACACATCCACCAGATCGACCTGGACGTGAACTGGACACTAAGAAACCACATCTTCTTCAGGGATCGATATGGAACCAAGTAAGCCTATGGGAGCCATAGTGTCCCAGCAGAGATGGAGTGAACCAGAGGGATGGGGACTTCCCCGGAGCAGAAGCCAGGGTCACCCATGAGGGATGACAGACTCTCAAGAGCTCTCATGGCCCAGGGAACAGCCGGCACCATGGATGGAGCACCTCCCAGGTTCCAAGCCCCAGGCCAGGCTGGAACGTGTGGGGCCAGAACCCAGGGGAATCCTGCAGAGACAGAAGGCAGCAAAGAAAATCATGCACAATGGTGAAAGGTGCTCTCCCTGACCCACGGGGACCCATGGCAGGACCCACGGGAGGGTGGCAGGATGGAGGCCCCATGAGCCTCCCCAGGCAACACTGACAACACCAAATGCTGGGGGAATTCAGGTTCCTGGAAACTCTCATCCAGGTCTGCTGGGAACATGACACGGCACAGCCACTTCGGCAGCCAGTTGGGCAGTGGCTCACAAAGCTCAATGGACTTGAACTAAGCGTCACCAAAGTGTCACAGATATTGAACCCACTGATTTGAAAACTGACATCCACAGGAAACCTTCATGCCACGTACACTGCTTGATTCATCATCACTCATACACAGAGCCTTAGGGAACGACCTTCAACATGGGAATGCGGAGAGGAAGGCTGGTCCTTTCAAGAGTAGAAGACTCAGTGAGAAAAGGGAATGAGCCAGTGATGCCTGCACAAACATGGGTGAATCCTAGATGCATTTTGCTAAGGGAAAGAAGCCAGACCCAATAAGCTACCACTGTAGGATTCCAAACGTCGGCCATTCTGGAAAAGGCCAAACCATAGGGACTGAGAACCGGTCTGAGTGGCCAGGGGCTGACAGACTGGGGAGAGGCTGGGTGCATAGGGGCCACCCTGGAGACTTGGAGGATGAAGGAGTTGCTCCAGGAGAGGCTGGAGCGGTGGCCGGGAGACTCTGCACATTGGTTTAGAACCACGGAGGAACTGTACACCCAAAGACTGAACTGGCGTGCGTACAAACCAAAAAAAAAAAAAAAAAATCAGAGGGAAAATGATCAGTCAACTTACTGTACAATTGGACTATTAGCATTTCACAGATGTGGATTTTACTGAAACATTTCTTAAATAGTCAAAGGCCCTGAAGAGCTCACTGTTTATCTGGTGAATCACCTGAATCTGAAATTGGATTTGTTGTTAGGCTTTGTAGACAAAGTGAAACTAACATCTGCACAAAAGAAACAAAAGTCCCCTTTATCTGTTTTTTAGGCAGCGGGAACTATTCTACATCCTCCTGGCATATTCAGAGTATAACCCGGTGAGTATTCCCGGCAGTGACCATATTCCCATATTCACGGCTATATTCCCAGACCATATTTCCATATTCCTGGGTGTGGATGTCTGGTGGGGGTGTCATTGCTTCTTTCAAAGTTAGTATTTGTGACCCCCGGGGATATAGGAGGTAGGACTTCAGCTCACCGCTGGCATAAACCTCCAAGCAAGGGGGTGGTCTCAAGGGGTCACACTGAGACACAAAGGAGTCGGGCATGGACTCCTGGTGTCACCTGGGCCTGACCACCACTTCTTGGAACAAGAAATGATGCCCTCCTCCTGGGACTGCCCCAAAGCCCAGGAGCTTGGCAGCATCACACGCAGGACGGTGCTATCAGGAGACATTTTGGACAAGGTGCTGAAAGGCCCGATGGACATAGCTCTTGTCATAAAATGAATTTGCATCCTGAGGAAGCCTCTTCTTCAGAGGAAGCCTCCCCAGTCACCTCTGCCTTCTCTGATGACATGAATCCTCCCAGGTGACCTCAGTCCTCCCAGGTGACCTCAGCCCTCCCAGGTGATGTCCTTCCACAGTGACTGGCTCTTGCAGGAGGTGGGCTACTGCAGGGACCTGAGCCACGTCGCTGCCTTGTTCCTCCTTTATCTGCCTGAGGAGGATGCATTCTGGGCACTGGTGCAGCTGCTGGCCAGTGAGAGGCACTCCCTGCAGGGTAGGTGGACAGCTGCCCCCAGGGCCTCACACAGTCAGACCCGGGAATGGCCACCCTGGCCAGGTGATCTCGGCTTTCAGTGAAGACACCTTCCTTGTGTCACCAGCTTTTTGGGAGCCTTTAGGATGTATCTGCCTCACACAGTCAGACCCCGGGACAGCCAACCTGGACAGGTGATCTCGGCTTTCAACGAAGACACCTTCCTTGTGTCACCAGCTTGTTGGGTGCCTTTAGGATGTCTCTGCTGAGGGTCCTCAGGAGCCCAGGGCTGAGCTCCAGAACCCAAGTCAGACACCTTTCATCCCCAACAGTAGAGGGCATCTCATCCTCCCCGTGGCCACCCTCTGTGTCCTGCTGCCACGCCCTCCGGCTCTGATTCTGTGCAGCTGACTCTCCCCTCCCTGAGAGTCCTCCTGCCCTTCAGCTGCCCAGGCTCCAGCTTCCCTTGGTACCCACAAATGGGCCAACCAAGCCCAGATGGCAGCATCTCCCCATCCCATGTCCCCTGGCCTGACGCCACTTCCAGGAGGTGACCACGAAGCCCAGCACCCACCCTGTTCTGGCCGCCCTCTGTCATGACCTCAAAGTCAGGCTTGCCCTTTGTGCACCCTGGTCCAGGAGGCCTCCAGGAGCACCTCCAGCCAGGCTCCAGGGGATGTTCCCACCTCTTCTCTCCAGGGCCAAGGCCACATGGTAGGGTCACCAGATGGGAGGGTGGGAGGCTTCGGGGTTTGGGGGGCTCTGCGGCTGCCCATCTCTTCCAGCTGATGGCTCCACATCTTGGGAGAAGGCTCTGATTTCATGATGGGCTGAGGGCTTCTCAGGATTCCACAGCCCAAATGGCGGGACAGTCCAGGGGCTCCAAGACCATCAGGAGCATGTGGTCCCCACGTCACAATCCAAGACCATGTGGCATCTGGTGAGTTTATGGTCCCCTCAGCTCTTCCCCAGAGGCCCTGCATCCTGTGGGGCTGGAGGAATGGGGGCTGGAGCCCCTCATGGGGCTGGTGACTGCCTGAGTCCCAGCCAGGATCTGACCTGGGACGTCGGGTTCTCCATGGGCTAGGAGTTGGTTTGCTTTCCTGCCCTGGAGGAGACAGAGGCGCAGGGATAGGGACCCAGCTCCCGCAGAGCAGGGCTAAGGGCAGTGTGTCCACCGTGAGTGCCGGAAGGTGAAGATGTTGGGGGGAGCCCGGGACACCACCCAGTGTTCTGCACTTGGGGAAGGATCTTCAGAGGATCTTCACCTCTGTTCCTCCCATCAGGACAAGGAAGGTCTGTGCGCACAGTGTTCCTCATTCAGCTGGCTTCTCTGGATGCTGAATATTGGGGTAAGGAGGCACAGGGAGACCCTGGCTCAGGGACCCTCCTTGCCCTGCAGTGCCCTGCTTCCCCAACCCGGGGGTCCGGCTCACCCACAGCCCACAGGAGGCTCAGGCGGATCCCCACAGGACGTACAAGCAAGACCCTCTGCCCAAGAGGGGTCATCCCAGGGCAGAGGCCAGGGCTCAAACTCAGCCTCATGGACAGACCCGGCCCGATTTGGGAGGGCTCAGGGGAGCCTCAAGCCCTGAGGAAGGCCCTCTCTCCACTGAAATGAGCGCCCCCCATAAGGAGCTGCAAGACCTTGTTTGACCTAGCCTCCTGGAGGGGTCGGGTGACCCTCATGGGGAAGGTCACCGACTCTGGTCACTGTGCCCCAGTGTGCAGCTTGAGCCACCAGCCCTGGCCTGGAAGAGCCAGGTCCTCCCGTGTCTACTTTCCCCACAGATCTTTCTCGGGCTCATCCTGCGCCTGTGGGACATATATTTGCTGGAAGGGGAACAGATGTCGATGCCGATAACAAGCACTGCCTTTAAGGTTCAGAGGAGTAAGTCCACATGTGCCCAGTGGGATCTGGGGAGCACTCGGGTCAAACTCCAACTAGCCCAAGGGCAACTTCCTCACACTGTCCTCATGATCCTCTGTTCTGGCCCAGAGGGAGGTCTGGCCAGGTGGGCTGGGCGGGGCACAGTGACACCGAGCCCATCCCTCACACGACCCAGATGAAAGTCAGGAGTGTGGTGAGCACTTCCCTACCCAGGCCGCTCCCGCAACCACAGCCTCCTGTGCACATCTGGACCCCTGGGGTGGTCACAAAAGGATCCGGCACTGCCCAGTGGGAGACTGAAGTGGCCATGGGGTGTGGGCTCTGACCCTTCCCAGGGGACTCTCCTGGCCTTATGCCCACCTTGTCTCTAGAGCGCCACATGAAGACGTCCAGGTCTGGCCTGTGGGCACGTTTTCAAGACCAGTTCTTCCATACCTGGGCCCTGGATGATGACACTGTTCTTAATCATCTTTGGGCCTCTATGAAGAAACTAACAAGGAAGCATGGGGACCTGCCACCCCCAGGTGGGCTCCAGTACCAGGTCCCCTCCTGAGTCACCCTCTGGGGCAGTCAATACTAGGGCAGTGCCCAGGACCCCCAACCCTACTACCTGGGCCTTCCTCTTCACCTTTTCTTCCTCCTCTTCCTCCTGGACTCTAAGAAAGTATAGGAGGCCCACCGGTCCTCACGGCAGGCACTCAGTGCGTATGTACTGGACATGCTGTGCACACAGGAGGGGGATGTGGGCAAGACCCTCCAACGAGCCCCCTCCCACTTTCCACGGTGGCCCGCTCTCCCCCTCACAGGGCCCTCAAGGGCACTAGAGGAGCCAGACCCATTCCTGAGAGCCTCCGCCCCTCCCTGCAAGCGCTGACAGCCTCAGAGAGCAGCAGAGGCCCCTCACTCCTGCAGACCCCTCCACGGGTGCCAGGACAACAAGCCTTGAGCCAGGGAGACAAGGGAATCAGTGTCTCTGACCCCCAGAGCATTCAGGGAGAGGGCACAGGTGGGACCGCGGGCCCAGAGCCAGAGCCAAGAGTTCAGCCAGGTGTGGGAATGGTCAGCCCAGGACGGGGCAGCCGAGGAGGGCAGAGGGTGACCCACGTCCAGGCCCAGTCACCCACTGAGGAGACAGGTCCCCACATAAGGTGGCAAGGGGGCTGGGTGACAACCAAGGCCCCTCCCATCTGAGTTCTGACTGGGGGCCATATCCCAGGCCCAACAGCCCTGGGACAAGGTTGTGTAGCAGGAAGCCCCCAACCAGGCTGAACCCTGGGGGCAGTCCCAGGAGCCACCTGCCATGCCCTGACAGCTTCCCCACACCAGGTGGCACACGCCCCTTCCTCTGGGATCAGCAGACTATAGGAGTGTCCTCAGTGTCAGACCACGGGGGCCACACAGAGACCCTGAGGACTCCAGAGACCCAGGTAGGTGGGGCTTGCCTGGAAAGGCCTGCATGGGCTCACTGGAGACACTGACCACGTCTGTTTTCCTTTCAACCAAACCCGAGCAAGGGTCCTCGGCACCCAGGTCTGTGCCAGCTTCACGTGGCAGGAAGACCCTCTGCAACGGGGACAGGCAGGCCCTTCCCGGCCCACTAGCCCATTTCCAGCAGCCCATTTGGTCAGCTTCCCTACCTCGTCCCACACCCTCTCCTAGTAGGGCTGTCCATGAGGCCAAGGCCCAAGAACATGAGGGGGCTTCTGGGGAGCCCAGGGCAGCAGACCACTCTCTGGGGGCACCCGGGAGTCAGGACATACCCAACCTGGCCCCGGCTCAGGGAGGACTTTGGCGTTCCTGGAGATTCCTGGAGTGGAACTTGATGCCCCAGCTCCCAACAGACCTGGATGTGGGGGACCCTTGGTTCCCCCATGAGGATTTCAAACAGAGCTGCTGGGTCCATCTCCCTTCTGAATGTGTCCTGGGCAGCCACGGGACCATGGGACAGGCCTAGCCCAGGAAGCCCAGGGGGACCCTGACACTGGGCCCAGCCCAGGCCCATCAGGACTAAGAGGGAGGTCGGGAGATAACCCCACTGCAACATGGGCACCTGCATCTGGCCCTCTCGGTGACCAGTGACTGGCACGTCTGGAAGGAGCCAGGGTGGCACCCCGCCAGCTGCCCCGCAGCCCTAGACACCTTGGAAAATCCCATTCAATGGGGAAGCCAGTCCCATCAAGGCCACGAGAGACAGAGAGGTGAACATGGCAACCCCAGCCAGCTAGCAGCATGCCCTGGGACCTCTGTCCCAACCTGTGGGCCTGTGTCCCCCTTCCAGGGCACAATTCCCAAGCCAAGAGGGGCCCAGCCTAGACCCCAGCCCTGGGAAGAGAGGGGCACCAGGGGTATAGTGGGCCCCCAGCTGCAGTCACTATGGCCATGCAGGGGACCCTGGCGCTGCAGAGCTCTGCCACTGTCACAATTCACCTCACAGAAGCCGGGCAAGTCCCGAAGCCTTGCAGCCACTGCGGCAGCCACTGCAGGCGCCACCACCAGGTGCCTTCCAGCTGCCAGTGCAGGCTTTCCTGACAGGAGGGCACCCTGCAGCCCTGGCCTCAGCAGCTCAGACTCTGAAGGTATCTGTTATTCATGTTCCCAGTACTCCCACCAAAGAGAATTACTATGGAGGGTGACGTTGGTCCTGAGTTGAGCAAAACAGCACGCCCTGTGGATGGAGCCAGCTTCTTTCCAAGCCACCACACTCGCTGGATGGGCCCACGGAGCAGGTGGCCTTGAGACCGGCATGGGGATGGAAGAGGCTCAGCATCCTGCACATGCCCTTACCAAGGCTCACCAGGCTGACACCGCTGCTGAGCACCACATTTGTGGATGAGAGACTCACACCTAGTCCCTGGGATGGCACAATTTCCCAGGAGGATCTGCTGGCCACCTGCTGGCAGGCTGACCACACTGCGGAGGGGTTGAGATTGGCTTTCACTGCACTGAGCCACAATGTGGGCATGGACCTGTGGGCCCTGCAGTGCACACAGCACTGCCTCCGAGCAGGACCCCCCATTCACAGCTAGGGACAAGCAGTGCTCCCACCTCAGGGCCTTGGCTCTGCCACCTCTACTTTGAATGTTCTCAGTTCCCTCCAGGCTTCTAGCAGCATCTGGGCCAGGGCTCATGGCTGGATAAGCACCCGAGGTCCCAAACAAGTTTCTCATCCTCGTTTTATTTTTTGTTAAACTTATGAAAATGTATTAAGATATGACTTACATCCCGGGTAAGTGCATAGCTCAAAAGACATTCAGAGATGGAACACACTAGCCCCCAGATCACAAAGCCAACCATGCCCAGCCCCTCCCAGCACTCCCAGCCCCAAAACCCGTGTTCTGACTTCTGACAACACCATGAGCCTACCTTTGTACTTTACACTCATGGAAGGATAACCACCTTCATGTTGTAAAATAAATGTTACTGTTGAAATGATTTTACACATACACCTTCCATCCAGCTGCCCTCAATAAGGACGTTTTGCAGTACCATGGCACACAAGAAATTTAGGCCGGGTGTGGTGGCTCATGCCTATAATCCCAGCAATTTGAGAGTTCGAGGCAGGAGGTTCAGGCTCATTTGAGCCCAGGAGTTTGAGACCAGCCTGGGAAACACAGGTAGACCCTTTCTCTACAGAAAAATAAAAGAAATTAGCCAGGCATGGTGGCGTGTGCCTATAGTCCCACCTATTCAGGAGGCTGAGGTGGGAAGATTGCTTGAGTAATTGAGTTCCAGGAAGCAGGGAGCACTGCCCTCCAGCCTAAGTGACAGAGTGAGACTTTGTCTCCTATAAAAACAAAATAAGAAATTTAACATTGGTGCAATCCTATTAACTAAATGGTAATGTGAACTATTATCTAAGGTTATTAATGCAGTAATTATATGAACAGGGTGAAATTTATTCAGACTTCACCCGTTTTTGCCTAGCTTCTCATACCTGTCCAGGGATCCCACCTCTGACTCACCCTCTGCCTTTAGTTCGTGTCTCCTTAGCTTCCTCCAGGTGGTCCAGCCAAACACACACCTGGGCTGAATGGTAGAGCTGATTGCTCCTGGGCTCCAAACCTCTACAGCATGTTACCATGTTGAGTACTGTAGGCAATGGTAACATAATGGTGGCTATCTGTGTATCTAAACACAGAAAAAGATCATAAAAATACAGTGTAAACAATAAAAAATGGTACACCTGTCCAGGTGTGGTGGTTCATGCCTATAATCCCAGCACTCTGGGAAGCCATGGTGGGAGGATCACTTGGGCCCAGGAGTTCAAGACTAGTCTGGGCAACATAACATAATATTTAAGAAGGCCCCATCTCTTCTTAAATATCAATTTTTAGAGATGGTACACCTGTATAGGGTGGATCCATTATAACCTTATGGGAACCACCATCCTATATGCATTCTGGCATGGACTGAAATGTCGTTATCTGACACTGACTCTACTATAAGTAGAGATAATTTTAAGCATACAAGAAGATGTACTTAGGTTATCTGCAAATACTGCACCAGTTTATATCAGGACTTTGGTATCTGTGGGAGATGGGGAAACTGATTCCCCACATACATTGAGGGGCAACTGTAAACATTTCAGGCCCCACAGAATGCTCAATTCCCTGCACCCCCATCCCAAGGTAAATTCTATTACTGGAGATTAGTTTGCCTGATGATAACTTCATATAAATGGAATCACACATGATCTCTTCTTGTAGACCTATTCTTATAGGTCTAACTTCTGTCACTCACACATGAGCTGTGAGAGATTCATTCATATTGTAGCCACAATTTACTCATTTTCTTTGCTGTGTAGTATTCTAATCTTGAATGTCCCATGATTTTTTATTCATTCTTCTGTGATGGGTATTTGGGAAGTTTCTAGTGTGAGGCTATTACAAATTGTGCTGCTATGAGGGTTGTTTTACTTGTATTTTAGTGAAGGTATAGACACATCTGTGTAAGGTACATGTGCAGGAAGGAAATTGCTAGCTCATGGGAGGCAAATGTTTAGCTTTGGTGAATATTACCAATCATTCTAAAATGTTTGTTCCACTTCACCTGTTCATCCGTGAGTTGGAGCGTTCCTTCCACAGCTTGGGCTGTCTCAGAAAGACCTGGGCTCAGTCCCATTCAGCCACTTAGTAGCTGTGTCCCTTTGGACAAACCATGTAACTTCTCTGAGCCTCAGGGTCCTCATCTGTAAACTGGGCTGCTGGCGGTCCTTACCTCGCAGGGCCACTGGGAGGACTAAGTGAGATGAAAGCCGACTCCCTGAGAGACACCACTTCTCCCTCCCTCAGACTCAACAGGAAGATACCTTCACTGCCCAATGCGAAGGCCATGGGGAGGACGCGAGGCCCCAGGGCTTCCCTGTCCCAGGAGCATAAGCCTCGGATTTTTGTTTCCAGAAACAACCACCCCTGGGGTCAGGATGACTCTCAAGTCCCCATAGCCTGTGCTCCCACTCCACGAAGGCGGGCTTCAGCAGTGGGGAAGGGGCTGCACTGTGCCAGCCTCACCCTGGCCACTGTCTGCCCTCATGACTCAGAGCACAGCAAGGTCCCCAAGCAGAGCAGTGTAGGGTCTGGCCCCAGCCCTGGGCTCTAGACATCCCGGTCACCCCCACCTGCCCCAACCCTGCCCCCTCCATCCCTCAGCCTCTGCGTGCCACCTTCACAGCTCAGGACATTTTAGCTCCTTCCATGACACCATCATCTGTCTCCTCAAGCGGAGTGCAGCACAAGGGCAGTGAACTCAGTCAGTCTATAGATGTGTCTCTGGTGTCTGGAAGATGAGAAGTTCAAAACATACTTGCTTAGTGTCTGCGTACATTTCATTAAGCAGAAGACAGCTTTGGAAATAAAAGAGACCCTCCCAAGGTGACAGTGCGTAGCCGGCATTTTCCAGGTATTCTCGGCATGCCAGGCACTGGGCTGGACCATCGACACGGGAGCTCTGGAGCCCATGGAGTGCCAGGTTACAGGCGTGAGTCACCGCGCCTGGTTGGAAGTATTGTTTATTTCTTTATTAAAATTTGTGCTTTCTGAGTTTATGTAATTGACAGGTGTTGCCTTTGTGATCAGAAACAGTAAAGGTATAGAAAAAATGTGTAGACAAAAGCAGTAAAACCAATCACATCTATAATAAAATCCTCGCTTTTAAATAAAATGTGCAGAGAAAAAGATGGAAAAGAAATGCAGTGGGCCGGGCATGGTGGCTCATGCCTATAATCCCAGCGCTTTGGGAGGCCACAGCGGGAGGATCACTCGAGGTCAGGAGTTTTAGACCAACATGGCCAATGTGGTGAAACCCCGTCTCTAATGAAAAAAAAAAATTAGCAGGGCATGTTGGTGGGCACCTATAATCCCAGCTACTCAGGAGGCTGAGGCAGGAGAATTGCTTGAACCTGGGAGGTGGAGGTTGCAGTGAGCCAAGATTGCACCACCGCATTCTAGCCTGGGCAACAGAGTGAGACTCCATCTCAAAAGACAAAAACAAAAAAACCCTTAATAGTTGTGGTCTCTGAGGGCTGGGGATATCAGGAAACTTTGCTTTTCTGTCTAATTTTGTATATGCTCATCTTCAGATTTGAATGTACTCTATTAAATTCCCTTAGCAGCCTCCTCATTAGCCTCTCTGCCCCCATTCCTGCCTTTGCCTGCCATGCAAAGGCTTCCCTGGCATTGTGTTAGACAAAGCAGTTGCTCCTAGAAAAAGTCTCCGTTCTCTATGCCTAGTTAACTTCCACTTACCCATCAGTACTATACTCAAGGTCTCCCCAACTACTTTATGGAAGACTTCTGTAGTGGATGCTGTGACCTGCCACCCAGACGTCCACTTCAGGACCAGGGCCCTCATTCTCTGGCTGCTAGGAGACTTGGAGGCGGATGCTGGCAGATGAGTCTTACTCTGGGAAATGCCCTGGCTGAACGGAGCTGCCTGGGGACAGTCTACATCCATTGCCTAGTTCATTGGAGCAGGGAGATGGGGTGGGCAATAAAAGCCCATACCCCTTGCCTCCACTCACTACAACTTTGAAGGGTCATCTACCCTCCAGAGCTCCCTGTGGGAGTGGCTAAGACCTCTGTTGCAACTGAAGTGCAGTCACTCTGTCTGGCCAGGCCCGCCAGCTTCACCCTCTCACAGGTGCTGGTCCTGAGGGCACTTCCCAAGGAACTTCCTTAACCAGTGACACCTTCTTGACCTCCCAGGTTAGGCTAGATTCCTTAATTATATGCTTTTTCAGGGCACATATCTCCTGTGTAAGTTTTACATCCATTTGTAGTATCTGGCTAACGTCTGCCTGTCCTATCAACTGTAATAGCCACAGAGTGGGAGCTCTATCTGATTTTATTCACCATTGCATTCTGCCATGCCGGCATGCAGTTTAAAAATATTTGTAGAGTGAACAAACAATTTTATTAACCATCTAATCTAATCCCTTAGGAGGTCATCAGCTTTACTTAGGGCTGCAGAATGTCTCATTCATTCATTCAATAAATATTTACAAGGAGAAGCTGGATTCCTACCTCTCAACACCAAAATAATTCCAGATGGTTCAAAGATGGTTATATGTAAGAAAATGAAACCAATAACTTTCTAGAATAAAGATGAGTAAGTTTTAGAAAAAAAAAATTGGTGGGCCGGGTGTGGTGGCTCACGCCTATAGTTCCAACACTTTGGGAGGCCGAGACAGGCAGATCATGAGGTCAAGCGTTCGAGACTCGCCTGGCCAACATGGTGAAACTCCGTCTCTATTAAGAATACAAAAATTAGCCAGGCGTGGTTGTGCATGTCTATAATCCCAGCTACTCAGGAGGCTGAGGCAGGAGAATCGCTTGAACCAGGGAGGCAGAGGTTGCAGTGAGCCTAGATTCTGCCACTGCTCTCCAGCCTGGGCGACAGAGCAAGACTTCATCTCAAAAAAAAAATTTTTTTTGGAGTATTAAAGGCCTTCATAGGTATGACCACATAAAATTCTAAACCTTTATAAAGCAAAAATAAACATTAATAAGCTGGGCCAGGCGCAGTGGGTCACGCTTGTAATCCCAGCACTTTGGGAAGCTGAGGCGAGCAGATCACCTGAGGTCGGGAGTTCGAGACCAGCCTGACCAACATGGAAAAACCTTGTCTCTACTAAAAATACAAAATTAGCCAGGTGTGATGGCACATACCTGTAATTCCAGCTACTTGGGAGGCTGAGGCAGGAGAATCGCTTGAACCCGGGAGGCGGAGGTTGCGGTGAGCCAAGATTGCGCCATTGCACTCTAGCTTGAGCAACAAGAGCGAAACTCCATCTCAAAAATAATAATAATAATAATAATAAGCTGGCCAGGTATGGTGGCTCATGCCTATAATGCTGGAACTTTGGGAGACCGAGGCAGGAGGATTGCTTGAGGGACCAGATGGGACAACAAAGTGACACACACACAAAC